GTCATCAGGAGCAAGATCTGGTCGAGGAAATTCGTAAGTCGGCTGTCGATTAGCTGGCCGCCGAGGCGGGGGTGGTGGTGGGATAGGTCCTGTACCTGGTCCTGTTCGCGAGAAAAGTCCTCGGGGGCGTCCATATCTATCCGGAACTGAATATTGTCGATAATATTCCTAATGGTAACTTGGATGAGAAATTAACGTTCGAGCGGCGCGTTATGGGTGAAAAGAGGATCAGTGGCAGGTCTCGTTTCACCGTGGCAGAAGTAGGTCGCGCCACACCATATAGTCCAGTGAAACGAGACCAGGAAGCGTTCCGTTCTTCACCCATATAAGCCATCACAGAATGGAAAACGTCGTACCTCGTGATTAGGACTTAGGCAACCATTTGGACGCTGTAAGCGCTGGTAAGATGGTTGTCAGTGACTCAAAGCCTTGGTACGCACTCTTGCTGCGAGGATAGTCTCAATAACGTCATCCTTTTCAACTGCATGATCCAATCTTATATTGTACGCATGGGCGTACTTTCTCAGTTTTGCCAGCGAATGGTTTCTGAGAGCTCCCTTTGATGCCGCAGTCACTGGCTTGAGATGATCAGCTGCGATTTCGTCACCATCAGAAAATGCACGCACTTTGTAAGAACTCAATACAGTAAGCGCACACATTTAGGGCTTCATAGCCACTGGAATTGGCACGAGGCATAAGAGCCTGATAATCGGTACAGCTGTGGCAATACGAATATCCTGCAAAACCAAAAGCAGTCAGATTCTCCCTCTTCTAGAAAGAAATTTCTAGGTTCACCGCAATGATTGCACTGCCGAGAGCGAGTAAAGATAATATTGAACTCTTTATTGCATTTCCTGCATGAGCTCTCAGCTCGTCCTGGTGTAGGTGGAGGACCACTGAGTAGAGGAAGACCCTCCGACATGGCCCTTAGCACAGATAATGATTAAGCAAACAAGAATTCGCTCGACGTGATCGTTATAAGCAGAGATTCATAGAACGCCAGAGAACATGGTGGATGATTACCAAGTAGCGCCGCTGGCACCGGCCCGAAGCATCTGTTTCGGATCCGTCGGCTTGGCGTGGACAACACAGCGTAATAACAATAAAATAATGCCCCAACGGTGGGATGAGGAAGTTAGCCGGGGGCCATAGCAGCTAAATACTTCCCACATAAATGTTTCCATTGAGATGGAAAAGAATAAGATGGAGGGATTTTTTCCCCTTACGATAAGATGATCGTCGAGTAACCACCTTGTTGCTCCTCGTTCTCATTTTTCGAAATCTTAATATCCCAAAATCTTTGTCGTATTTTACGAGGCAAAGCGCGAAAGAGACCGTCCCAAGGTGAAGGCCATAAATCGCCTTCAGAAATTATTTCTATAAAGTACCCAACTATACATTTTCACTTCCATATAGACCCATCCTCAGTAGTAAGCTTCGCCGATCAGTACGACCTCGTACTTAGCATCAGCTGGCGCTTCAGGTGTGACAACCGTCTTCGTCGCCATGTCGAAATCGATCAGCCGCCAACATGTACCCTTTGAATTGTCAGATACACTTGTATTTTCTTCGTCGTTCGATCAATCAGTCTCCTCAGAGTCTGGCTCGGGACGTTTGATCTTGATATTCTCCCAAGGTTCAACGTGAGAAGCCGGCTCTCCTTTGATGTCAAAGCAGTCTGTCAGAGGGATGGTGAAGAATCCAAAGCATCGTGGTGTAATTAACCCATCACATCCTGGTTCGACAGCAAGCAGTTCGCAGAACCACGCTTCTCGGCGCTAGAGTCCTGCCATATTCGGGCTTCGCCACCTTGACAGCTCAGGAAAGTCTGAGTCTGCCGTATCGTGGATAATTCATGTGGAGTATACGATTCCCACTCTTCCCTCGGATACGCAGCCAGTCAGCTCAAGCTCGAGACAAGCGCCATTCTTTGGAAGAGGGAGAGGAGATCAGCTCTCAATTCTAGGCAAAGGGACATCCAGCCAGACGAAAGCGTGGAACTGGAAAAGACTAAGGTCGACATAGCTGCCACAGTGTAAGGTCCAGGACGAGAACTCACGAATTTTGGCGCGCTGCGATAATGCGGGCTCAACCAACGGCTGTATCCAAGTGTTATCCGGCACGTACTGAGTGTCCTTGAGAAGGGAAATCGGCAAGCGAATCGTCCATTTATGAGTGTATATCAAGTTCGTCTTCAAAATTCGACGAAAAGGCGACCCAAGCACGTGATTGGGACCTCAGTCAGTCTCCGGGCCGCCCGGCCCATATGATCACATGGACGTGAAATACCCATTTATATGTTTCTAGCCTGGCAAGCCGTCTTTATTATATACTCGCGGAACTCGTATCTGTATATAAAGCCTGGTACCCGGGGCGGGGGTCCATAGAGGAACCCTCAAATCTCAACGGATTTCAAACTCAGACGTGATCCGGTTTTTCGGCTCACTAATCCATGATGACACATCACCAAATTTCAGGACTTAGAACTTTGCACCGTCATACCCCAGTATAGCCTGGTAACCAAGCCCTCTAACAAGGAGAACCTCGTTAGAGGGCTTGGTAAAACTCACGCCGATCATGGCACAGACATTTACGGGCATTGCCGGTGCCCAAATTAGGGAGGCGTTTCCGGATTTGGGACTCGCTGAATCATCACTAAAACAACTTGAGCGTCGAAGCGGCGAATACAGCAGTGAAAACACCTTATAAATGTACTGCCATGATAGTTGATTGCCTAGAAATATGACTGAGAAGGCATATGATGAGTATTATCAGTAGAAAAGACTGATTGCTACTAGGAGAACAAATCAGGGGTCATTTGAATGGGAATGGGCAAGGAATTCGTGTTTGAAGCGAAGTTTTCTGGTCTAAATACATCTTGGGACATTTAATGAGGTTCTATGTGAGAAATGAAGCTGTCGACAGATAGACGAGGGACATAGACGTGACGCAACATGAAAGCAATGTAGCTACACCAAAACCTAAATCCGGAAAAGCCTCCCTAATTTGGACACCGGCAATGCCCGTAAATGTCTGTGCCATGATCGGCGCGAGTTTTACAGGTCCCTCTAGTGAGGCTTGGCTCATAAGAAGAGGGACCGGTTCAGGTCTAACCCCAGTATTAAGCATTGATTAGAACATTGAATACCATATAATATTTAACTATGGAGGGGTGGCATAGTATCAGATGTCATTTAACTGAAGAAAACTTTCTATATGGCTCAAAGAGGATGATGTTGTTGATTATTTGTCCATTAGTGCTTCCGTTTCACTATGCTATGTGCAGCAGATAACTAGAGTAATAATGACCTCATGGAGCGCCTCAAACAGGTGGGATAGCGGTGTAAAGATGATTTGGCGACGCGTCGCGTTTAGAGGCACGCGGAGCACGTGCCAGCTTGTCGCCGGCATTATTTCGGAGTTGGAAAATCAGCGAGATTGGGGGGTTCCTCTATGGAAAACTGGAAAACTGGATTTATTGGCCACCTCTGCTGATACAGCTCAGGTATGGACCCCCGCCCCGGGTACCAGGCTAATATGTTTCGATACGCGAGTTTGCATTAGCGCTGGGTGAGAATGCCTGATGTTAATAACATACCTAGTAAATCACATGAAAATAACATGTATGTAACGTTAAAAACATCGAAGGGTCCCAGCAGTGGTGTGAAATTCTGTGAGAAACTCCGGTGGGATGAGCCTACGGAACGGCCTCTTCCAAGGCTCCAAGCATCATCGGTCACTAAGATGACTACTTCTAGGTGGTGCTTGTTGTCGTGCACCATGATAAATTTCGATTTACCTTTGATTTACCTTGTATTCATACATATATGGTCATTTCTGACCGCGTAGCGAAATAACAGGAAAATCACACGTTTTTAACATGTTATTTACGTGTTAAAAACAAAAAAACTTTCCGCGCTGCGCGCGATGATGTCATGGGAAACTCACAGTTATTTACATGTGAGGATGAACCTCACATGGGGGGTGCAACCATTGTCACGTTAAATACTTTGCCGAAAAGCATTCTCACCCAGCGCTAGTTTGCATTATAGCTACAACGACCATGCCCGCGACTATCACTTGCCTCACAAAAAATTTCTTCCCGGAACAGACCGACCTCCATGAGATTTTATTTTCGTCGTTGATCTACAAGCCATATTCTCATTGCTCAAGCTTCGTAGGAGCCTAACAAAGGTTACGAAGGGCGTCGATTAGGTTGTGGCCAATAATGTCGTGTCACACTTTCCGAAAGAAGGCACTATATAGGTTATTCCACCCGCACCGGCCCGCTGTCTCAGGGCACACATCGCCTCCATCTCCTACCACCACCACCACCACCACCACCCTCGCCGTTTATGATATTCTCGCTATAATTCTCCCAAAACCCTACTCTCCTTATCAATCTATTCTGCTTATCAACTTGTAATACTTGATTTTCGCCCTCAAGAATCTGAAACCACCCCAGCACTTTTGCAACAATGTCTCACCCCCTGCCTGCCTTCGAAAACCCCAGCTTCGACCACCTCCCTCGCCCTCATACTCCACCGGGGGAGCTCGAACCCTCTTCAACTGTGTTTGTGGGTCTGGAGCTCGCCGTGTCAGGACTAGATCGGTCTTCAAAGTCGTCTGCTCAGACTGACTTTGTGGCCACCTACCCCCACATTGTCCAGCACGCTCGCCTCACTTCGCCCCAGACCTACATGCCTTTACCAGCTGATCTTAAAGTCGTCCCTGGAAATGCTCGACAGGCTGTTGACTACGTTTTCATATCCCTATCCCCATCGCTCTCTGCCACTCCCCGACCTGACATTCTATACGGCGTCAGGCACGCTATCATTGCTCATGGCAGACTCAAAGCCGACTGGAAGGTTACGAGCGGGTATGACCGAACTCGAAGGGGCTTCTTCAACATGGACAGTGTCAACGACGCTGAGAACATGAAAGACCAGCTTGCTGCTGCTCTTAACAGTAGGGGCCTGCTCTTTCAGTTCCATACCATCATGCCCCTCGCGAATGCTATCCGTCTTGCGTTTGACTTTCTCGATCCCGCATCCATTGAAAACCTGGAATCCAACCCGATAGTCATCAATCACCGTGTCTTACCCATATTCCGGCCTCGTTTCGTTGTGCCAGAGTTCGGGTATGACATCGCTATCACTGGTTGTGGCGGAATCCAGGGTTTTCAGGGTGGGATGGATGCAGTCATTCGCGAGACTATCGGTCCTCGCTCAATTATTCGGAGCAGGATGGAACTGAATGGTGACGCTTACATCGTCATCATGGATAGCTTCGAAAACACTGTTCGCCTGCTCAACACCGACCTACCTCTGCCCCGGGGTGTACCTCCCTACGTCACCATTTCAAAACCCATGTACCTCTTCTTCTTCAACTTGCGTGGATGTCCAGCCTCTCCTACTTATCTTCACAGTGAAAATTCAGCCACAGCCTCAGCCAACATTCAAAACCTGCAACGGCAGATTGATCTTCTCCGCGAAAACGGCGTACAGACTGTTCAATCTGTTCAGAACGTTTTCAACATCCAGAACCAGTCTCTCATGAGCATTCATGCCTCCGTCAATGCTCTTCAAAATGCGTTCGCGATGTCTGTTGCCTCTCAAACTGGTCTACATCGCTTGACTATGGCAGATAATGAGCTCACTCGTCTTCGCGCTGAACGGTCCTCTAAGGAGCTTTTCTTGCTGATGGCTCCTAATGATGAGGTCAAGGCACAGGTCAATAACCAGATCGCTGCGCTTGACAGGGCCATTCAGCTTCAAGACAAATTACGAGGTGAGGCTAACGTCTACTATACGTCACTGGCCGACAGGATGGCGACTTTCACTTTGACGTCCTCCCTTGACGGGCCCCAACTTCCTCCCCATCAACACCCTGAAGGCGAGGAGGATGACCGTCCCCATCAGCGTCGTCGCCTTGACCCTGTCGGTGAAAATAACACACCCCAGATGGATCAATCCGTGAGCATGCCTCCTTTCCTTCACGTTTCTCCTTGTAACCTCGCTTCCTCTCCTCCCACTATCAGTGAACCCATTCAATCACCTTCAAAAATGCTCCGCACATCTGGGCGAGATATGGGAGAAACTACGCGTCTTTCTTCTTCTTCTACGAAAATTCATTTTTCTGTCCCTGTTCTTCTCCATCTGTTTCTTTTCTTCTGTTTCTTTTCTTCTGTATCTGCAAATATGTCTCAGTCCTTTCGGACTGTCTCTGTGAATGCGAATGGTTTTTCTGATGTGATGAAACATTCCGCTTTTTCTAACATTGTGTCCACCCACCGTCCACATGCCTGGTTGATTGCTGAGACCAAGTCCCGTTCCTCGGTGCGTTCACGCATCAACGTACGAGACTATAAGGTATTCGAATCTCCTGGCCTTAAAGCTGATAAAACCACCTCGAAATGGGGCGTTGCTTTAGGAGTTACTGCTTCGTTGCACTCGCAACTGGTCCCTCTGCCGCCCCAACTGGCTGGAAGAGCTGTATGCGTTGATGTCGTTCTTCCCTCTGACAGTGGTAGGGGCTTCTCTCATCGCCTTGTGGGAGTATATGCTCCGTATCACCCAGGGGGTGCTCCAAGTCCGCATGACGCTCTCCATGACTTTTGGGTCTGCATTTCTCACTTATGTGCATCTGCTCAACACTCTTGGCAAGTTATAGGTGACTTTAATGTTACTCTCACATCCTCAGAGGTTATGGGTGACGCGACAGGCGACAACTATGCCCGCACCGCGTACCGTGACTTCCTACATCAGTCTCGTGGGATTGATACATGGGAGAACCAGAATGATAATGATGCTCGTCATGTGTACACCTTCAATGCCTACAATGGCACTTGTCGGTCCATCATTGACCGTTGCGCTCATTCATCCCATGGGATTGATCTCTCTGTGATCTCTGTTCCTCGCTGTTTTATGCCAGGAACTGATCACCAATTGATATCATCAGCAGTCTTCTGCTCACCGCCTATAGATTTGGATGCATCCTCATCTCTAACATCTGCATGTTCTCAAGACAGGTCTCCCTACCCGCCTCGCTTCATAGTCCCCAAACGCCATGAGTCTTACCGATTCGAAACGTTTGCAGACCGTGTTGATTGCCTTGCGCGGGAAGCTCGACTTCATGAGCATCCTATAACAAATGACTCCGACTATCAACTTCGATGGCAGGCTCTAACAGACATCTTCCTGGCCGCTGGCAACGAGGCTTTTGATCTCCCCAATACCTACGACCGCTCGCATCAGAAGATAGTAACCCCAACCATCACTATCATTCTTCGCGAGTATTCTCGCTTGAATAGGATGATTTCTGCCTTGAAAAGACGATCTCTGCCTCAGTTGTGTGCCCGGAATCGATGGACGGGCACCTATCTTCAGGCCCTTTCTGGTCATCCCTTCCTTCATCCAATTCTGTCCCCTCCATCACTATTCTACTCACCTTCTTCTCTTCTGTTTTATAAAAAGGCTCGCTCTGCTCTCTCCAAGCTTCGATACAAGGCTGAAAGGGATGAACGACGTTCGCGCTCCACCAAAGCCGATAAAAGTCGTCTTAACAGATGTCTTCTTGGTGGCTCTGCTAAGCGTCTCTATCCTCCTTCGCAGTTTCAAGGACCTCCACCAGCTATTTCAATTCCCGACGACCACAATCCTAATGCTCGCAAATACTTTACCGGTGCCGATGATGTTAAGGCTCAAACGATGGACTACTTTTCTGCATTGTACTGCAGGAATGACCGTCCTGACCCACCAAAGCCATGGATGGATTGTCCATCTGTTCGTTCAATCAGGGAAAACGTCAGATGTGATTCCTTTCAATGGCCTCAAAAGATGGACCTGCTTTCTGGCCGCTCTCTGATTCGTAAAGGTAATCCCCGACCGGCTCCTGGTCCTGATCGCTGGGAGAAATGGATGGTAAAGAGTCTTCATGACTTCTCATTTCAGCTTGTCTTGGATCTCTGGAACTACTGCATTGACACCTCTCATTTCCCTTCTTGTGTTAAGCCCTCTTCTATTTCCCTCATTCATAAACGAGGGGATGCAACTGATCTCACTAACTTCCGTGGAATCTGCACAAGCAACTTGTGCATGAATATGCCTTTTGCGTGGCTGAATTCCTTGCTAACTCCATATCTATCTCAACACTCTGTCTTACCAGAAGGACAGATTGCGACGCAACCAGGCATACAGGGAAGAGATCTGACCTCTTTCCTTGCTCAGCTTGAAACTTGGGCCGACCGCACCAAAACTCCACTATACATCGTTCGGCGAGATCAGAAAAAGGGTTTTGATCGACTCGAGCCTCAAGGATTTTACGACGCCATAAGGGCTTATGGTTTGCCTTCCTCTATCATTGATTTCGATATTTCAGCCCAGAGTGATGTCTCTTATCGGATAAAGACATTTTACGGATTGACAGACGCACTGACAATTAGTGGGATTACGAAACAGGGCGGACCACTGTCCCCAATCAAGTGCACCTTGACGAGTAGTATGGGTAGTCACTGGTTATCCGATTCCCTGCGTCACCAAACTGGCCACCTTCATGTTGCAACACTTCAAGCCTCCCGTGGTCAACCTCATCTCCCCGACGACAGAATCTCGATTCCGGTTGTGATGGTGGAGGCGATGGATGACTCTGCCATTGTAACAACCTCATTGCCAACGTGCCTCTCCTCTATAACGATGTCGGAACGTTTCCAAAGCGCATATGGCGGTGAAACCAACTGGCCCAAATCAGCCGCCTTCCTTCGAAACGTTCCTAACCCTCCCTCTCATCTCCAAGTTACATCGGTCCACCCAGCACAGCCTGATATCCTAGTCCAACATGATCTCTCGGTGTCGACCTCTCACATCGAGTTCCTGCGTCTTTCCATCAATGATCCTTCTGCGCAGTACCACAAGCTCAAGGGTTTGATATCTTCCTTTGATTTCCCTTCACTCCAAAATTTTCGCCTTCCTTTGCCGGCACTACGCCGTGTCCTTTCACAGTGCCTAGTCTCAAAACTCAGGCCTCATTTGGCCTATCAGCCAATTACAGAGACTGACGCTGTTCACTTGGACCATTTGATCACAGCAAAGGTACACGAGTACTTCTCCTTTCCTTTTCATTTTAACTCTACCTTGCTTTCGCTGCCTCTGTCACTCCATGGTTTTGATTTCCCCTCTATCTCTCGCTTGAATCGCGTAGCAGCCGTGAACGGCCTGCTTCGTGACCTTAACCATCATATAGGAACATTCCGAGATATGGCTCGTATCACGCTCGCGGACTGGACATGTCAACTGAACCATTGTGTCTTTCCTCTTCACGGCGCGTCTCTCAACACCTCGTTCATGCGGCAACAAAGTGGCCTGCCTTTCCAGTGGCGGCTTGCACATGACACTATGCGCCAAAACGGTTTGTCCATCCGTAACACGGATCTCTCTTTCCTTTTCTATGGCGATGTGTCTCTGCGTCACCTGAATCGCACGTTACACACTCGTCTCAGTCTACCACCACAGTTTATAACCAACTTGGCTAATGCCGGACTGACTCACCTCTTTGACATCGCATCCTTCACCCTAGATCCCGCAAAACATGACGTTGTGCAACTACAACCTCATCCCAATGTCCACTTTCAAAATGCTACCACTCGCGCTCAAGAACAGTGGTTACAAACCTCACAGTGGCTTTCCGATTTAACGCTGATGGATCTGGTCAATGGGTATATGGCTACGGACTCGGACGTGACAGATAATGTTGTAGGGAGACGACGGAGAGCGGTTGGTTGCCAAACTCGCATACAGATCGCTGGCACGGATGACAATCTCCTCCGTGGTGCAGCTGCGAGTCAGTGTCTGGACTTGGAGCCCCTTTGGTTCCTGGGTTTACCTCCAAGGTTGCGTATGCAACAAGCACAAGATCTCATCAATGCCTACTACGCTGTTTCCCCTCACGCGCCCTTTCCCACCTCCATTCCTCCTGGGATTTTCGCATCTGACGCATCTATGCTTCCGGCTGCACCCTCTTTCCGACATCAACGTTCAGTAACCTTCTCGTCAATTTCTCATTCCTCTGCCCTGGCCATGAATCTCGACTGCTTCCGTACTTCAGCGTGGGTTTATCATGGCGAGACGTACGGACTCATAGCATCAACAATACATCAATACAATTTACCATCACCCCCTTCTCACCTACCCTCTTCTCCAACTCTCTATACCGACCACCTCAACTCTTCTCGTATTGTATCTTCCGCTCTCCACCTCCCTCCTCTGCCTCATCAATGGTCATCTCTTCCTGGTCGTTCGCTCTACCGATGGCTCCTTCATCTCTTGCAGCATTCTCCACCACCACATCATCCTCCCAATATCATCTACACTCCAGCTCACACCAACTCCTCCTCGACCCCTTCAACAGTTAATGCGCTTGCAGATCGGCTCGCATCAGGTTCTCAGCATTTACAAATTCGGCCACCTCCCGCACCCTTACCTACTTTCTTTATGGATTCTTTTATGCTTTACTCACCAAACGACGGCTACATTGAAACAAGTATATCATCATATCTGCCATCTGTACTCACTTCCGCTGCTTATTCTAGCCCAGACTTCCGCCCTGCCATGACGATGCTACTGCCGTTCCACGACCAACACACACCTCCCGAACATCCCTATTTGCGGGCCTCCTCGGCATATTCAGCCTTGGTACAGCTCTACGCGAGATCAGATCAGCTGGACACGACGTACGCACGATTCCGACGCTTCGGAAACGTATCCCCCATGTGCATCAGTGGATGCGATGCACTGGAAACCGTCCACCACATCTTCGTCTCGTGCCCTGTGTATCGCTCCTTCCGCCAACATGCCACACAAACACTGATTACCGAGACATCCCGTATCCTGGACTCTGCAGAAGTACCCTTGCTCATTTGCAGGTCCTTTCTTCAGGTGGTCCGATGTCTCTTTGAAGATGGCTCCGTTTGGCCCCAATCTCTATCTCGCTTCTACCTTGGCCTAACGCCACCCTTGCCCGCACTTACTGGTTTGCCGGGAGCGAAGACAAGTCGTCTGTTGGTACGCATCGCTCACACGTGGCACACGTCATGCATTCGTCTGGCTGGCAGGATTTGGGCGGAATATAAGCGAAGGGTACGTCCGGCTCCATCGAAAAAGAATAATAACGCCGTAGCCATTGATTTACCATCCTTTTTATCTCCTATCTTATCGTCCTGACCGTTTCCCTTCATACGTGTACCTTTACTTACAATGAGCTACCGAGGTAGATTAGTTTGCGCTTATTTACCTGAGCTGTATCAGCAGAGGTGGCCAATAAATCCAGTTTTCCAGTTTTCCACCACCACTGAATCCGCCTGTTCGATATGTCCCTTCCTCAATGTCCAACCTTGGACATGATCCTGCTGTTCGCCTGCAATCTGTATCCTCTATCCGCATCCATAGCCCTGCAAAGTCGCTAGATTCTCGAGCTTCCCATGCATGTGATCTCAACAGCTCGGAAACAGCGCAACAGCTTGGAACAGCATAACAGCGTATACTTATACCGTGCTAGGCTCGGCTGTGCCAACGGTGGACCCACCCTCTCACCACTACCACCAGAATGTCGGGAGATTCGAATATTGGCGCATGGATACAATTTGCAAAGCTTACCGCGGCTGCGGGTGAAATGGCCCCATTTCCGTACATCAAGGGTGTTGCAGGATGTATAGCGACAATTCTTGAGGTCATTGAGGTACGTGCTATTAACTGCTGCTGTATGTTATTGAGCGGAGGTCTAGTTAGCTGGCAAGAACAACAAAGATATTCAAGACTTGGCAGAGAGCATTGGAACGACAATACGGATCATCAAGGAAACCGTTGAAGCACACGGTGATACGAGTGCGACACGTTTTCGCGATGTATGTGTGGAGCTTCAGGCGTGAGTTGGCATGTACAAATTGCTGAACCTTACTTACCGAAACTTCTGTCCAGATACCTGGAGAGTTTAATTTCCGAACTAAACACCACTCGACGGAATTTGAAGTCCAAAAGCATTACGCGATTCCTGAAAACGAAGAAGATTTCCGGCGTTATCGATGGATACAAGCAGCAAGTGAACAACATCAAGGCAGATTACCTTGTATGCGCTCGGGCGTTGTATGCACTAGTATTTGTATTGACTGTCTGTCCTTTTCAAGGTTCTGGTTACTACCGACTCAAGGTTCGCGATGTCTGAGATGCAGGATGCCCTGAGCACTGTCACTTCGACCGTAAAATCTCAGGCACACTACATCCGAAGCGAGATACGTTCCTTGGGCGATATCCAGAAGGAACATGCGGCCCAGATTTGTGAGAAGCTTCAGGATCCGAAGGGATATTATAAAGGACAGGTAGGTGATTCTCATATCAAACATTCTATATCTTATTCGTAGGTTCGAGAATTTTTCCCGGGGGACATCTACATAGGAAAGCTCGTGTCTCTTTCTTGGCCTGATTCTTCCCCTGGATACGAAGACAGATACGGCACAGTCGAGAACAGCAACACAGCAAAAATCATTCGCGTATACCAATATTCTCCTGATAATGAAGAAGCTACGCTGAAAGTAAGTGTCTGTTACTATATTATTCACTGGCAAAGTGAACATCATTTTTGTAATCTAGCAATTCGATGATGATGCAGACACTTTGATTAAAATGAAGTTCGGCTTTCCATGTCTGTCTAATGATCATCGAGTGATGCTTTGTGTAGGCACCCAAACATCCCACAAGTCTTTGGTATCTGCAGATCGCCAAACTTTCCAGTGATTGTATTTCACGGTGAGGGTATTGGTTCCTTTTGTCTTTGGTTTAGTCTAAGTTCCGTGCACAGGTACCACCTTGATCACTTTCGGTGATTATGAACATAACCTGACTGCCAAGCAATTTGTACGATTCTATGTTCAACTGGTAAAACAACTTTTCTTTGATATTTTAGACCAACACAGCTAATCTGCCACTGCGTAGTTAGACGATTTAGAGGTATGATCTGCCGGAGTCCAGAAGAATATGCCTGAATACCCGTTCTGTAGTCGGTCTCAGAGTATTTGTCCAGGCAATACACGCTTTCCAATTCGGGAAGTTTGGCAGTTGTCAGTCAATGTATGGAACTCTCAATGTATACTGACGATTTCGAAGGACAACTATACCCATCTCAACGAACATGGGCAAATTGTTGTGACGAATATGGTATCTAACCAGGACAGCAGTGGGGATTTTTATATGTATATCTCTTATACACCAAGGGAGTGCAGCTATTTTTCGGTCTTGCCGCCTGACCCGGAGGAGCTGCTTTCCAGCCAAATCAAGAGATGGTCCCTGTCGTCCACATTGCGAAAGGACAATTTATGCAATGTGTATAATACTATCAAACGCTTCAT